ACCCCTGCACAGCGCAGAGCTCCAGGGCTTTCAGCTACAAACACCCTCATATTTAAGCTGCATTTTTACCTTGAAAAGCAATTTGCAACCCCAAATTTCTGACAAGCCTCGCTGAAACCACACGCAGCGAGTTTGCGGGAACGATGCTTTTACCCACCTGCAGCCTTGGGATTCAAGTCGGATGAATCTCCCTTCACTTCATCATCATCACCACTTCAAAAGCAAGACAAAGCGGGCCTCACGTGCGCTTCCAGAACTCGCACGCCTTCCAGAGCACGGGGGCAGCACCGTGAAACCCCGAGGAGCCCCCGGGGGGCTCAGCCCAGAGCGCCCAAGGCAGAGCGCGGCTGGTACCCAGCCCACGTGCTGTGGGTATGGTGGGGGGGCCTCACTCTTCCCATGCGATGGAAGGCTTTGGGAGAGACCAAAGAGAAGAGGCGAGCACTGGAAGCCGTCTTTAGGCCCTTTTCCAAAAGCTTGGGCAGGAAAGATTCCGTCTTTGGCACGAGGAACCGCAGCTGGCACTTCCCGCTCCCCCTCTGCACATCTCACGGGTTGCTATTTATGCTGATCACTCCCAGGGTGCCCAGCTCCCCGTTAGCCTAGGGACTAATTCAAAAAATGCATTTGTTTCCAAGTAGACGTTAAAAACTTCGTAAGGAGGTAACAAATGTACAAGAGAGGGAAGAGAAGGCAAAGGCTTTTGGTTAGAAAATTAAAGTTGTTTGCCATGGCTTGATGGCTTAATCAGTCGATCAATATTGTTCACAGGGCAGGCAGGGAGGGGTGATGAAAAATGCATGAGGGGACAAGGGAGACCTGGGAGTAGAAAATTAAAAAGTCAGGCTGTTACATTTGTCCAATATTGGCAGAGAAATTGAAGCGGTTTGGGGAGGGGTGCTGGGAGGGAAGGGGGGATAGGCACACGTATCCGCTGCGGGTTCCCTTAACGAGAGAAACTTTCACGTTAATTAAGTTGCTTTCTTAGCAAAAAGATGGATTTTGTGACCTTTAGCACTGGCGAGCGCCGCAAGCACAGCAGGTGGGGTTGGCACATGGGAAGATAAAATGGGATTTCTTCCCGTCAGGGGTGCACGGAGACCGGCTGCTCCACGCGGGGCAGGGGCAGGACGGCGGAACGGAGCAGGGTGAGACGGCGCTCCCCCTGCAGCGCTGGGCAGGCGAGCACGTCGCCGTGCTCTCGCCAGCGACGCTGGAGCCACGCAGCTCCGCAACACGGACAACCCGAGCCGCTAGCAGCTGCCCCCTTCTTTCTGCACGGGGAGTGGTTTCCTCTAAATCTGGCTGCTCTCAATCCTGCGGTGGCACCGGCCTTGCAGAAGTGAGCACCGGGAGCACTGCGGCGCCAGAAGATGCAGAGCCGGCCACTCTGGAGGGACCGCGGTCCTCGCTGTTTGCCCCAAAGATCTGAGCCCTTCCAAAAGCTGCAACAAACCCCAGTGATAAGAAAAGCAGCAAGGTCGCTCATCCTGCGATTAAACGGCTTTTTGTCCCCCACCCCTTTTAACGAGGGGTAGAAAATTAAGTGTCCAGTAACCAGGCCACAAAGCTGAGGAAGAACACCAAGGCGCGGCGCAGCGGGACGGGCTGGTCAGCGAGAAGCCGTCTCCCAGGTCCCGTTCCCCACACGGGAACCTCGGGGCGAGCTCCTGCCTTGGAAACCCGCAGCTCGGAGAGGAGCGGGCATCGGCCACCCCACGTTGGCATTCCCAGGACAAGAAGCAGACGGCTGCACCTGCATCGCTGAGATTCCCGAGCTTTACAAGAGCTGAGCCACCTGAATCCCATTCCCCAAATATTCCAGCCCGTTGCACTCGGAGCTCGCAGGGATAGAAGTCACTCCTTCCCCAGCGCCTCTACGGGGGCAGACGATGCCCTCCCGCTGCAGTTTCCTGGGGGAAGGAACGTGACAAACAGGTTGCACTTTGCCAAGACCTTTGGACCGAGGTACCTACCGTGAGTTTGCTGACGCTCCATCCCGCTCACCAATTACAGGTTTGAAATTTCAGGCTCAATTAGTACAGCCTGGCTGATGCTGTTTTCTGCCACTAATTATCTCCAAGTGCCAAGAGACAGTTCCACACTTAGCGTGAGCTTCAGGATGTGCTCTCCGCACCGTTACTCAAGTATAAACAGAACGGAGCAGCCAGCAGCGCCCAAAGCTGGTTGGATACCGCACGGTGACCTTTTTATTAACCAAAAAGAAGCTGACGCCATCAGAAAGCCAGGCCGTCTAATTAGCACCGGGACAGGACGGAGAGCGGGGCTGCTTATTTCCAAGGCTCACTCTCACCCAGGATGTGCACGCCGTGCTGTCTCGGGTGATCTTTGTACCGAGAGGCTGCTCGGGTCATCGGGTAGCACAGAAAGTTGTCACTGGGTAGTTCGACCGCAGATGAATGCGAAACGGCCATTAGCCCACTCCTCCGGCAACGCTTCTGCTCGGGGATAACGAGTAAAAAACCCAGAATCAGGTCTCATTTTCTAACATCCTCAAGCACACAGACGGTCACTCTTCCTACACAACGTTGTGCCTCCAAAGGAGGGACAAACGCGTGTTTTAAGTTCCTCTTCCACACGAGCCCGTCCTGCGCGGGGTCCCGTACCCGCAGCTGCCCTTCCCGCACCACACGCTGCCCTCGCAGGACGGCGCCGCTGTCTCTAGGAGCTCGGGCTTCCACGTCACCAGCAAACACAGGTAACGTAGTACCACACGAGGACAGGGTGATGCTCGTTTCCACAGCCATGAAACGGGCTGTTCCCTAAGTGCTGTAGGTTCAAGCTCAATTAAACAAGCGCTGTAAAAATCTCCGAATGCCTTATTTCAACCAGCTGCAAAGAAGAGATTCGCTCCCCTTCCTGCCCTGTATTTTTGTCCCCCCGCCCCCTTACTAAGTGGGATTAACTTCACCCCAAACTCCCCACTGAAAAGCAAACCGAGCCGTGCCACCACCAAAGCCCCCGAGAAGGGCGTCTCTGCTTTCTGCGAGAGCTTTTCCCCCAGGCAGAAGGAACCTCAAAAATCAGTCTGCAGCTCTCCGCCTTAATGCCGATTTACCTGAAAATTAACCGTGACCAGCACCTCCAGAGCCCCTTGCCAGCCCCCAGAAGCGAGCTCGGCCCTGCAGCCTTCGTGGCTGCGAAGGGAACGCGGGTGCCCGGCGTGAGCGACAGCCGAATTGATCTCATGGCTACCGGGAGGTGAGAGGTGCATGAGTCCACGGGCCCGCTGGAATACATCCGCAGCTCCTGAAGGAGCTGACAGATGAGGTTGCTAAACCTCTATCCATATCTGAGTTGTGACAGCCTGGGGAAGTTCCCACTGATTGGAAACGGGGGAACACAACCCCCATCTTTAAGAAGGATCCAGGGAACGACAGGCCAGTCAGTCTCACCTCTGTGCCTGGCACGGTCATGGAGCAGATCCTCCTGGAAACCACGCAAAGGCACACGGAAAACGAGGAGATGGTTGGTGACAGCCAAAGTGGCTTCACCAAGGGCAGATCGTGCCTGATGAACATGGTGGCTTCTACGATGGGGTCACAACCTTGGTGGATAGAGGACGGGTAGCCGCTGTCACCTACCTGGACTTGTGCAAAGCCTTCGACACTGGCCCACATGACATCCTTGTCTCTAACCTGGAGAGACATGGATTTGACAGACGGACCGCTCGGTGGATAAAGAACTGGCTGGATGGCCGCACTCAGAGTGGTGGGAAACGGCTCGATGTCCGAGTGGAGATCGGTGACGAGTGGCGTTCCTCAGGGGTCGGTGTTGGGGCCTGTGCTGTTTAACATCTTTGTCAGTGACATGGATGACGGCATTGAGTGCACCCTCAGCAAGTTTGCCGGCGACACCAAGCTGTGTGGCGCGGGCGACAGGCTGGAGGGAAGGGATGCCATCCAGAGGGACCTGGACAGGCTGGAGATGTGGGCCACTGCCAACCTCATGGAGTTCAACAAGGGCAAGGTCCTGCACCTGGGTTGGGGCAATTCCCAGGGACGACACTTCACCCCCCCAGGCCAGGGAGCATTCAGCTGGGCCAGGGACCTTCCCAGTCTCTGGGTGAAGGAAGAGTAGCTGAAGCTCACAGGTGCTGAACAATCTCACCTGTTCCAAGTGGAATGATCACTGGGACGGATCTTACTCTCCACTGGTGTGTTGGATGTACATTTTACACGGTTTAGGGAATACGCTCTTGTGTCTGTGCTGCAGAAGCTGGGCTTTAGGGCTGAATTCCTTTACTACTTTCAGCTCTAAACCATGACAAATTATACTCACTGTCACTGCTCATCACACCTTTGCTAACCACTTAATACATGCAGGTTTTGCTAACGTTTTTCATTACAGTTTTAGTAAAGGGAAACATCTGTTTCCCCCCGCCCTGGAAAGCGCATTGCATCTTCCAAGCTGCCTTTGAAATTCCATCTTTAATCAACGCTATAATCTCTTCCACAAAAAGACCAGCGCTCAGAAAAGCAGCCTTGCAACAACTCCCTCTCCCCCCCCATCATATCAGCGTGCGTGTTTAAGCGTTTTCCAGTTTTTCTAAAGAACAGAGCAGCACTGAAAAACCCACACCAAACCCAAGGATTCTGTTGATCAAATAATTAAATGAACAGCACCAATTCTGGAATACAAAATTTATTTCAAGCTTAGAAAAGTCTTCAACGTTGCAAATTCTGACACAAAACACAAACTGTACACCGGTACCTTCGTTAACATTTAGAATAACGATTATTACTTTCACATCTCCCCACAGGCACCATTTCAACTCAGAAGCAAAGCGGTCACGCTTCTTACCGGCTTCTTCAAAACGCCTTGGTCCCACGTGTCCCTTGCAGACTGATGGCTTTTAAACAGTCAAACGTGTTAGTGCAACCACGCTACGCGGTACAGGAAGAAAGGTTGAGAAATGGAGCCACCAGCTCTTTCCCAGCCCGACGCGTTCCCTCCTGGCGCTCCCAGTGGCCAGGCTACTACTGCCTGCAAGTGTCGTGGAAAGCCTCGAGAGTTCGGAAATCCCTCCATGTGGGTGGCAGGCCATCCTGCAGAAACTTTCCGCAGCGCTGGCATGGAGCCTGGAACAGCTTTATGTAACTTCTTAACCAGGTCTAAGAGGAAAAGGGAGAGAAATGAAGAAACCTGGATATGGACGTCCCCCCTTCATCAGCACGCCTGTCGAAGCGAGAGCAAGGACAGAGCACGCACTTTGGTGAGGCCCCAGCAAGGAATGCAGTGACTTTATAAACAGAAACATGCAGAAGGCGATGACAGTATAGCTGAATTCCCACTTTATTAATCAACTTTTGCTGTTTCAGTCACTTAAGCAAACTTGTTAATAGAAAGCCGCAGGCCGAGCAGGGGGTATTCGCAGCCAGAGAATCACAACGGAAGGCAAACAACGCTCCTTGTATTTTGGCTGGAATGTAATTGCTCTTGATGGGGACCATCTTCAACCAAATATTGGTTTGTCTGTTCCTATGATCATCTATCACACCCCTGCTGCAATCATGCTGCAACGGCCCGAAATCTTCAGAGCTGAAGACACAGGGACTTTCACAGCAAGCTAACTTCCTCGCTGATGTGATTTTAAGCTCCATACTCACTGGTTGTAAGAATACTGTACCATTTGAAACCTGATCACACTGATAAATGGCTAGAGAGGAGGCTAGTGCTGAGCAGCAGAGCTCAGTACTTCAGTGTTCCTTGGGGAAGCTCCTGCCTCCGCAGTAGCTTGTTCCCATCGGCATCCACAGCAACGGGCGCTACCTAACTCAATTCCCAGCTCAAGGAGATACACAGCTAAAAAGCACCTAGACCAGCAGATTTATGCCGTGAAGGATGCACATGAATCTTGTCATTTAAAGTCCTATTGAATTACATCGATAAGAGAAAATTGTTCTCTGAAGAAGAGGTCAGCCGAGTTTATTGAAACAAATCCTTCCATCTTCATCAGAGCTTCTCTATAGCAACCGAACCGTCGGCCGTCGATAACTCTCCTCCAGAAGAACCAGATCTTCTCTGGGTTTAGCAGTAAACAGGGGGACAAGGGCAACAGAACACTACAAGTAAATTGCTGTTATTTACTTCGGCTTGGATGGGCTTTGCTTGCACTACAGAGAAATCGAATTTTCTGAACCATAACACAAAAAAATAGGTAAATGAAGTTAAACTGTGCACTTGAGACATCTGTGTGTGTGTGTGTGTGTGGGGAAGTGCTCTTCATTCCCGTCAGGAAATCAGGGCTTCGCTCCATCCTGCGTGTGGGTTGCACACCTGACGGGTGAAAGGACCAGCACAGTGACCCTTCTGGTGTTCAGCTGGTTTCGCTTCGCTACAAGGTTCTGCAGGGTTTTGCCCAATCAGTGAGGCAGGCCCGGGGCTTAAGCAAACGTGCTACTTGTTCCATTAAACACTAATTTTCAGAAACACGCTGAAACATGGGTTTGACCAGGAAGAGTTGCCTTCACCTTTCAAACCCGATTCTTTTAAGATGGACTCCAAGAGAAGAGACTTTCCAAGTCTCCCACCATACCCGCCTCCTTATCAAACCAACCAACCAGCCCAGCAGGTCAGGGCGCCGGAGCACTCTGAAATCACACGGTGGCAATAAAGACGGTGCCGTACGCACCGCGAGACAGCGAATGGCAAAGTCAGAGGTTGTTCGCAGCCGTCTCAGCTGCACTGTTGCTGCAGGTGAAGGGGAAACATAATGGAAGGAAAAGAAGGAAAATGGCTGAAAAGCAGAGGAAATCTCTCTCTAAGGGCCTCCTTTGGGAGGTGCGGCAGAGAGAACAGCAAGGAGTCTCCACTGCCAAAATGAACCTTGGTGGAAGGAATTCTTAATCATAAAGCCTTGCTCTCACCCTCTGATTAACCAGGCTGCTTATACACATGTAAAATTCTAAATGTAAGCAGAATTCAAGGTGACAAACCTGCGTATCTAGCTAGAGCAGCATTTGATTAATTTTATTTAGTAAGAAAACAGTGGGATACGCCAGGAAACATTTCCTTGACCCCCCCAAACCACCTGCTGTTGTGCTGGGCGAGTCCATGCAATGGACTTCCTGCTCTCTTCAGAGATGACCCAGACTAGCTCTGCAAATAGGAACCAAGCTGATACCGAGACCTGTGACAGAAGAACTCTATGCAGCTCGGCCTTCCAGCGCCAATTATCCCAGGGTAACGAGAACGAGCTCCTTATCCAGGCAGGAGATACACAGAATTACAGTCAACCTCTGCTTTCCAGTTTAAGTGTTTTACGTGAAAAGACAACTGCCTCAGAACTGCCTCATGTCAATCCCTGCAGGCATGCTCAAGTTTATCTGGAAAAATGTACCTTCCAACACACTTACCATGAAAGACCTGACTACCACGTCCGGCATCTGAGGCAGCTGGTAGTGCAATAGAGCCGTGGTGGCATGATCCGTTACCTGTATCAGACAAAAGCAGAACATACCCTTATTCATTCTGTATTTCAGACCAAGCAGTGTTAACCTGCAGGAAAACAGTGTAAATTCCACGGGGAAGTAGCAAACCAAGGATTACATGACTGGGAAGACAAAGTAATTTTGGGTAGCTTTTCCCAGCTAGCTTCCATTCCCCCTGGCAAGTATCAGAAAACTTGAAATATTTTAACCCTTGCAGCCCTATTTCAGGTTGCTTACGTTGCACAAACACGAATTAAGCGCTCAGGTTAATTTCCTTTGAAACCAAGAATCAATTAATATGATTATGGTTTACAAACACTTGCATTAGTAAAAGATTTCTGATAAAAAGCTTTTTAATTTCCCAGACAGAGCTGTAACAATCTCTTACATCTGGGAATTACAGCTAGACAGAATACATAAAAACATATATTTATAATAACAAGAATAATTGAAGAAAAAATATCAGGAAAACCAACCAATGCTTTGATTTTTTTAAAATCACTACCATTTTTTAATTATTCTGGAAGGGAGCACTTTCTGACACTACGACACCATTCACTAGTGGCGTGCAGCCCGTCAGCTTCCCAAGCTCTCTGCACAGTCACCAGCGTGCTTCTCAGAAGCTCGAGGCTTAATGCAGAGATTCTTTGGGCTGGGCTGTCAGAGACCTCAAATGACACAATCACTAACGCTCTTTCACATCTTGCAACCTGTAAATCTATTCTCGGTCCTCATCAGTGATATCAAAGCATCCACCCAACTACCCGACGGTCTAGTTAGCCATTAAATTGTATTTTCTGGTTTTAACAGGGAGAAGTGGTGCACTTCTCACGGCCTCTCAACATGCTATAGTAAACTTTGGGTAAGATACAGCGTGAACTGGAATTACAATTGCCATTCCCAGCAACCTCCACTTGTTCCCATTCGGACCTGTCTAATTCAGCAATGTGAATTGTGCTGAAGCACTCTCAGCTTTCATTGGAGAAAGAGGCTCATGCCTGAAGCTATTCAGGGAGGTGAATCTGCAGATGCATTCCTGAAGAAATCCATGTGCAGACAGGCTCTAATTCACACCACACAAACTTCCTCCGCAGCACACGACATCGAGTCGCTCTGTCCTACGTGGAAGCCAGCTTTATCTTACACTACGGGTTTAGAAGCCGATTCTGCTCCCCATCATCCGTGCACACGCCGAACTCCAAACGCTGCTCCATTCAGTGTGAATACGCCGACATTTGGAAGGGAAAAAACACTTTCTGGGGCTGGGCACGTTCCTTCCGGTGGGTTTGCAACAGCATTCGCAAAACGGGCCTCAACCTGCTTCAGCCATTTAGATGGTACCAGTTAAATTAAGGGAACAGCATGGCTAACAGCGCGTTAACAGCGCTGCAGAACTCCAACCAGTCGTCTCTCCCAAACACATCTCGCAGCTTTTAGAAACGACTGTAATCCCAGCCCCAGTAGCTATGTGAACTTTCTTCTTTTAAGACGGTGCTTTTATAGGGTGGTACCAGACATGTGAAAGAATAGAAAGTTCTGAAGATATTTATGAGCAGCCGCTCTCCTTCTGCCGTATTTCTACTTCTAACAAACCGGATTTTTTTCTTCCTGAACAACAAAGTTGTTTTCTCTTGGCACTGAAGAAAGTTGCTGAAAACAATACTGCTATTAACAAATTTAAATTGACTGGCCACTTTGGCAAAGTTGCACATATGCTGTTCCTATTGTGATGTAAAGCTAATGAGATTCCACAGGGAGATAAAAGCCATCCCGGATTGCTAGAACACTAATAATGTTTTCTGAACAAAAAGGAGGCGATTTCTACCATAAGCAAGTGCTGATAAAGTGCTTCTAAAAATGATCAAAGTGGGTGTCAAATCTGAGGAAGCCGAGTAGGGGGAACGACCCCTCTAAACCCAACATGATGCCAAACAGGAAAGAGCTGGGCAAATGATGAACTGGCCAGTGCATGGGAGAGAAGGAAGAATCACCCCCCCCAGGATAACAAAGATGATGAGAGAAAGCATAAACGGTCCAAGATTAAAAGAGAGAAGGGGGGAGAAAAAAATACAAGAGGGGAAAAAAAGAAAACTCAATACCCAGCTTTACTAATGGCAATACGATTTCACACCAAAGCAAAGCAAAACAAACCGCCTGCGCGCCAGCTCCCTTAAGGGGCACGCTTTTTCTTCCAGCCAAGTTGGAATCACAAACTAATTTATTCTGGGTGTAGGATGACATTTTGGTGCATTTTAGGGCTGCATTTTATTAACTGCACTTTTATTGCTATACCTTACCTACTGCTATCTAAGTTATCAGTCACTTTCTAATCGCTCTACCCGTCTCTGTAAGGGAACATATTCAGAGGAGCACACATTGATTGGGATAGCTGCTGCTTTGGACCCTGAAATAGATTTTTCCAGTGATCTCGCAGAAAAGCTCAATATTTCACCATTCATATATTAAAAAGCACTGGGAATTTTTGTCATGGGAGGAAAAAAAAAAAAGGCGAGAGAAGGCAATCTCCTGAAGCCACAATTTTGCTAAATAAAACAGCTGTTGTGTAACTGAACATGTTCCCACTTTGAGACAGAGCAAAAGAGACTTCGGGTACATGAGGGAAAGAAAAATATTATATCTCTGGCAAAGAGCCAGCCTCTGTCTCCTCCTTTAAACAAACCTAAGCTGTCCTGGGCTGTATGAAGTGATTCTGCTATGCCACGGTACAGTCTTGCTTTCAGTTGGAACAAGAAAACTTCCCTTCTTTTTAATAGTTAATTACATCGCCTGGGATTATTTTTTCTTCTCCTTTTCACTTCTCAATTCAAGCTGACTGTAACAACGCACTACTTACAAGCACCTCTGCTCCCTTGTCTAAGGCACTGTAGACACCAGGAGTACAGCACAGGCTGGTACTGGATCAAACCTAATCCTCACGGCGACTGTGCAACTTCAATCCCACCTGCTCGTCCCTCTCGGCGAACGAGGCCCCAGAAAGATCAGGATCGTCTGGGTACCACCCCGCTGTGGTAAGCCACCCGTGGAGCCCAGGACAGTACTCTGCAGCGGAGGGAGGACATGGAACCCTGCCTCCCCTCCCGCATCCCACTGCCCCGCTTCCCCGCTCGGTAAAGCTGTAGCCAGCTCACGAGATCAACACAGAGGGATGAGCAGGAAACAAAATCCCTGTGAACTGGCTCAACCGAACCAACACCACTCACTTCCAGAGCATTTCTTTACCCACTTGATAGCACTGCTCTGCTGCAATGTGCTTTCCAAAGCTGACACATCCAGACAACGGCATTGTTGGGCCCTGACAACACCTGTTGGTCATACAGCACTCCCCAAGGTGAAAATCCATTCAAAAATTAAGAAAAGGAGTGTTCTACAATTCACAGGTTGGGAATGCTGAACAGGTGCTTCCTCTGACTGGAATAAGCAGCACAAAAGCAAGGACCTCTGGTACAGCTTGGCTCCACCACAGACGAGGGATGTTCCACAGATGTCTGGAGCTACACCTGGTGTAAAACCTAGAGCAGACAAATAGGAACACCCTGAGACTGAACTACAGAGCCATCTCCCTGCTCGTGTTCCACCTCGCCGCCAGTAAATGCGGTTTTCAAAAGTCAGTGCAACACTTCCTTTAAGAGTCGTAACTTTCCTTGCCACTTCCTTATTGGTTTATTCCCTGAAGTATGGCACTGACAACTCCATCTCATATAAAGGGATTCTCTAAATCCCCTGCAAGTTTTTTAATTTTTTTTTTTAAACCCTGCTAAATTCATGGCCTTAGCACTAGCCTGTAGCAATGACTTCTGGGGGCTCATTCACAGCACTGGAGAAAAAAAAAAAGGGAGTTATTTTATTAGTGTTTAGACTTTTTACAGCGTGGAAAACTGCACGAGGCCCTTGGTTCATTTCCAAGGATTCCCATTACTCAATCTTCTCTCCAGGACCATGCTGGAGCTGCTCTGGAGGGAATCCGGTGCATGGAACCCGGTGCCTGCGGGCGCTCGGCAGGCCGACCGACACTGCCCCCGTGAACAGGCACTGACGAACTCCGCGCAAACCCCCACACTCCTGCCCCTCTCCCAGTTCAGTAACGCTCTACCAGACTCCTCTGAGGTAGCACTTGTCTTCAGAGCCCACTGACTTTTTATTTCGCTTGTTCTGCTTATTTGACTGGGTCACAGAGATTTTATTTCCCCTAAGCGGGTCTTTGCACAGAGCCAAGTACCGACCACGCACAGGAGCAATCACGAGGGTGACCCTGGAACAGTCCACCTCTCCTCCTTGAGGAGACATCACCCACAGCCCAGCGTTTGTCTCATGCATGCCATTTTACTCTGAGACTATTGACAAGAATACATCTTCATACATTACAATACTTATGTGCCCTTGTAGTGGTGAAAACTGCGCTCCAAGTTCCAGCACTCTGGGATCCCACCGCTCACAAACAGCTGGATAGGCACAAATAGCTTGGCAAACTGAGGTGAAAACGTGCCTTGGGAAGCAGCGTACCAAAAACCACATCAAAACCAGCCCGTGGCATGCTAAAATTGACAGACCCTTTAGGGGAAAACAAGAATGGGACTCCAAGATCAGAAGGAAATCCATGGGTTTAAAGCCTATCCATGGGACCTAAACAGCCTAAGTGATCCTATTACACAGCTAAACCAGCTATGCTGCTCTTGACTGAGCTGCTTGATAAACAAAACAGCTAGTGTTTGACACCAGCTGTCCCACTATTCTGTGTGTTGCCTCTTTTTTGAATGCAAAGTTATGAATATTGCCCCATTCCCTACAATACGTATTTTTTAATCCTCTGCACAATGACTCGGAATAATGCAGCCCTCACGTACCCGCATCTTCCCACCAAGATTTAAGCCCCCTAATATTTCCTATTTTGTTCCTCCACTTGCGCTCGTGGATCAAGAGATGCAAGGTGTTAAAATAAGGAGGTTTAAGATCAAAACAGCAGCTGCTCCTGTGGAGTTTAAATGTCAGACCAATGTGGAAGTCTGAGAAACCTTTTCTTCGCTCCTTGTGTTTTTGCCCTTTCAGTCTTCCCTCTCTTATTTCCCAGCTCCATTCTCTGACTCTAACCCCGCTGGTGGATTCAATGCCTACAAAGCTTATCCACCCCAGGACCAGACTCAAGGAGGCTCCAGGGAACTCAGAAAATGACTGTACACTTTAACAGTAATGGGCCCTCCAGGAGCCGTCCCCCATCAAATTATACACACCCGGGTATCCTGCCTAACGAGGAGGAGAGAAAAGGCTTGCTGACACAGCCAACGTCCGCCAACAGAAAGTCAGGACAAATTTAGCTTCGTCTGACAGGGTTGGATTGGAGATCAGAGGTCTCTGGTCCTTAACCTAGAAAGTCATGCTGCAACCCTGTGAGACTTTGACAGGCCTGCAGGTACCAGGGCAGGTGCCTGTGAGCTCCAGATGTTGTTGTATTATCACGGAAGACCGAGTGGGAGAACTCGGTCCAGCTTTTAAAGAGAAACGGCCCTGCCCTTCGGAGGGATGATGGAGTTCACGGTGCTGCAGGTGGCAGAGCTGCAAGGGCTGTGCAGCCCCCTCGGTGGGAGCAGCTACTCATCCGTATTTTAACTTCTCGGCACAGCACTTCCACAGGGCGTTTCTGGTGACTGCCATGAGAAAGACATTTCGGGAACATTCAGATGTGCTGTGACACATTTACGGATGATTTCTGTAATGTCATGAAAACATTTATGCGGAAGATCCTGCCGTACAGATACTACACGAGTAACAGTACAATAGTTTCTCTAACAGGGTGTTACCTATTTCCTTCACCTCGCTACTCCTGGGTATTACGAATGGATGCAGGTGCAGCTTCAGAATGAAGAGACAAGCAAACCAAGCACAGCATCAGAGAGAACGCACTACGCTGAAGCACAGCGTTTCCTACCACCTGTTTGAAATCCGGACGTGGGTCCTAGCCTTCGCTCCGTAACGATCCGCTCAGCAGCACGGGGGCCGTCAGGGAGGAGGTGCTGTCACCTCGCACCTCTACCACATCTTCCACGCGAGAACCAGAGCACTGTGCAACCCATTCAGCGAGAGCTCCTATGAGGTCAGCAAGCGTTAGCTCAGCCTAGGGGAAGCGGAAAGCTGATCCAAAAAGAAGTTGCCCAAAGTAAGTGGCAGAGCCGGAGCAGAATGTATAAAACCACTATAAAAAAATGCAGACAGCTGGTTACAGGCAGCCCCCTGCAGTCTTTTCTTTCTGGCTTTTTGTTTGTTTGTTTGTGGGTTCTGTTTGTTTGGTGGGTTTTGTTTTGGTAAATATTAATGCTTTTGATATTATTTACAGAGAGAGAACTGGAGAATAGGAACTTAATATTCTGCTTGCATCAAATTATTTTACAGAATGAGGAAAAGATTCTTATTTATCCATAATGCAGCCACACTGTTCAGCAGTGAGAAGGGCATTTCACATTTTCTCACTGACCTCTCTCACTTTTGGTCTGAAGACCCAAAGAAAAATTTACATATTTATGCTCCCCGAGTCCTTAACTCGGACTTCGAAGCAAACTGTACATTTACTCTGTTATCTTGCGTATGGACAACTGAAGTTATATATCAAAACCTCACGATTTATTATCATTTAACACAAATTATGGCAACGTGACTTAACCCTTCCACGCTATTTTAAACTAAAACATCCAGGAAGACAATCTCAGGTCCAAATGAGCTTAACAACTGAACCCACACACAAGGAAACTGAGATGATGCACTTAATTACAGAAACTTGTATTTATTCCATTGCAAAAATTACTTTAAAGCATACTGACACACAAGCTACTAGGATTTATGCTGGCTTACTTCCTGCTGTATCACCTTAATTGACACTAAAGATTTTTGAGGAGCAAGAAAAAAAGAAAGAATATTTAATCCACTAATCTCTGGGGTAAAGAATCCACTGCAGCAAAATTTTGCTGTAATGCTAGGCAGAGTGGGTGAGCAACCAACCTCCCCAAAAGCTATTCTTTGATCTCTAGCAGGTTAATATCACAGGTCAAACGTCTTCTCTTCTGACTGCATCTGAAATCTTGGAAGGAAGATGCACAAATAGAGCCAATATGCCATACTTCTGACCCCTGCTTTTATGCCCTTCTGAGTCCCTGACCCCCATTTGTTACACAAACTACAAAAGCAGATGAAAGGAAGCTAGCGCACTAGCTGGAGACTCCAGCTTCTTGAACTGTGACTTGAAGGTAAGGGAATCGGAATCTAAACCCGGATCAATCTGAACTTACAGCATTTTGACAAGAGGCCTTCAAAGAGAAATCTTCTCTTCCCTGCCTGGAAAATAGCAAGATATAGATCTTTCCAAAACACACTTTAACCTTTTTAGTAGCTTTACAGTTAGTGCTTCCATTCTCTCATCCATCTTTTCTTGGAATGGCATTCATCTCAGTAAGTTGTTCCTTTTGCTTACACCATCACAGGAAGAGAAACCGGCAAAATAACGTCACGAAAAAGTTCCCAAACTCATTTTGAAACATGAGTTCTACTAATTTATTAAACTCAAGCTCCCAAGAAAGGGGGAACAAAAACCAATGAAAACAACAAACCAAAATCCAAATGAACCCGAAATGCCCCCAAAAGATTTAAACTAAAAAAAGTACTTGAAGATTCCTCATGAAATTCTAAGGCTAGAATAGTATAATCTCCAATATCCTATTCCAAACCCTGGACCAGCACTGTGATGGGAAATAAGTCCAAATTAAATAACAGCAGAATGGATCTCCTTTTCTACTCAAGGGTTTCCAGCATTACAGATTATTGGTTGTTACTTGCAAGTGGTGATGACAAAGGAATAAATTCTGAATTCTTTTACCTAGATATTTAATATGATAGATATTTCAGGGCCTAGATATTTAAAACGATGTCCACGTATCTCCTATACACGTTATGTAGAGAGAAATGATGTGGGACTTACCTTCTGAAAAACTTGATAGTTGGATTTAGACCAAATGTCAAGCTACAGTAGGGGAAAAAAAAAAGAGTTAAATATTACTTTTTCTTGGAAATCACATGTAGAAGTTAAGCAACTGTTCAAATTAAAGAGCAGGCAAACAGTTCTACGGAGACATATTTCTCAGTTCACTGTTTTGACTCATTGCCTTTACCTGTTACAGTCCAAGAAAGGGAGTTAATGACATACAATTTCCTTCGTATTGCAATGAAGGATTAACATAACTCATCAGTTTCAGTAAAAAATTATGTACACAAGACCCGTGGAATTAACACATTCTCTTTTACAAAAGCAAAATCTACATTTGTACAGGGTTGTGGCTGATCTATGCAAATACTCATCACCACACTTCAGTCTATTGCTAAAATGAGGGCATTTTTACTGAGTTTATGCTCGCTGTGTCTGAATAAGTGATTCAGTTACAAACGACACAAAGAGCGTTTAGCTGAATTAAGCCAAAGCAGCAGTCTACAGGGGCTAAATAAAACATCCCTTAGGAAACTGCATTTACATCTGCAGACAAAAAAAAAAATATCACACTAGGAGAGATTGAAGTTGCAGAAAACTGTACACACCCAGGACTCAAATGTGTGCTCAGCTACAGACAGACTGAAAGCACAAAAGTGAAGTAAGTTTTCTTAAGCCCAGAAACCAGAAGGTAAGGCTGTCCTTGTTAAAGAACCAATTGGCTCACTCATTAAACAATTTCATCTCATATGCTAATGCTCTTTCAGCCCAACCCTGTGGAGTATCTTGTACTCTGTCAAGGAAAAGCAGCAGGAAAAAACAAGAATTTCCATCAGTGCCAGACTTGCAAATCACTTTCCCCCCCCCGCTCCCCAGATCCCACCGTACTTGAAAATTCCATACGTACAAAACATGTCACAGGAAAGGTGTCTGCTACACCACTGACCTCAGGAATCTTGATCTAAACAACTCCATTTTTTGGAGTGAATTTTGAAGCAGGTGTAGCTCCTCTAGTGCCTCATAATACGGTCAGGCAGGCACTCTGCCACAATGGGGGTTTATTACGGTAAAGTACAACTGATGATTTAATGTTGTCTTTGGTAGTGCCCATGAGTTCCACCTGAATTCACAAGTCTTCTAAAAGGCACCAAAATTAAGGTCTGAAATGAAGCTAGTAAAACACACTGGAGGGGGGTGAAGGAGGAGAGGGGGAAAGATGCTGAAGTAATTAATTCACATCGCTAGAAAGGTTCAGAAGGCTGAAAGTTCCCATTCTTTTAAGAGCAAGGCTTAAGCGGCCCAGTTCTAAATACTGGTCCAGAAGTGACTCAAGTGCCCTGGCCTCAGCTGGACAGGAGGTTAAAGACTTTAAAAAGCACTTCAGGATGGCTATTTCACGGCTTAGGAGCGCTGACCTTGCCGTGAGACAAAAGGCAGCTGATGTTGGACGAAGACAGAAGTTCCCCGAGGCACGTACCTACACACCTTTTTACATCTACTGGCTCTTAGGGTGGGATCAAGAGCCTGCGTGAACGCCAACAGCACTCGTACTCTAGAGTCCACAAGCGGAAGCTCAGCCTGGAGTTGGGCCTGAGCTTGATTTACAGTGCAGGAACAGGTCTGTGCCTGTCGGGAAGGAAGCTGTGCATTTCCACATTAGAAAAGTCTACATCTGAAAATAAAAAATTAATGCATATTTAAAAAAAAACCCTGTTTTCATGTAATATAAGGCTTTCTTTGACTGCAGACAGAGCTGCTATAATTGGAATGTATATATGGTTTTGCTAATCTCTAGTGATCAAACCGAGTATGTGATCCTCTCCAGTCAGACTCACAAAAAAAAAAAAAAGTCCACTTAAGATGCTGCATTAAGATGAGTCCAACAGGTTCGGAATGTTCATTAGCTGGCATGAACATTGAAAAGCTGAAAAAGTAATGAATGCCTGTCTTACAGACATGATATTATTCAAGTTAAAAGACAAAAAGAAAAAAAAGCAAAAAGCTACCCTCCCTACCCCCCCTCACCACATGCATACATCCTAAATGACTGCCCACCGCTCCCCCTGCGACCGAGGACTACGGCAGAGGCGGATTAAAGAATGCATCGTTAGAGGTCTATTATTCTTCAACTTTTCACTTTCAATCAAGACACACATTTGTAACTAAAAAACTGCTGAAAGCACAATTTCAGGGCATCCTCTGCATGTGAATTAAACTGGGGCTTTTTTCCCCAATGCCCCACTCTCCCCACCCACCCCCAGCGTAAGTAACAAGAGGCCACTTTCTGAAGGTCGTCTGAACGATTTCAAAGGCGATAACAAATCAGAATGTTCCCTGCATCTAATATCAAACAGGTCCGGTGCCAACACTTATTAGAGAAATCGGATTCAACCCCCCCTTCACCCAAACACACACACATCCAGCTTTGAAGTGGAAAGAATGCAGGGATCAGAAATTACCCGAGAGACAGCTCTGCCTGTCTTTGAAGCTTTCCTTTGATACTACTATTTCTTTTCCTCTCTTACGCTAGGAGGCTAAAAGCTGCCTTTTCTTATTGGTATGGGGTAATTAATGAAGCCATAGCATTAACATAACCCAAGTTCCTTAACATGATAATGCAACAGAGACACTTAACATTTCTTTAGTGAAGTCTAACCGTTGCAAAAATAGGAATTTGGCCAGGCAGTGATGTTAAGTACCCCTTCTAAATACGCCCGTCAAGGTGGTTCTGTTCTCTGCACCCAGAGAAAAGCAGGGTATTACTATGCCAAAAAAATCCCAGTATGTTTTTATTTTTATTGGCAGACTAGGACTACTAATGGCTCAGCTGACAATAAGCTTGGCCTGCAAGGGTGAGCTGCATACCTTCATTTATTCAGGAATCAGGACAACACTAGTAATTAATGACTATCCATGGTTAAATTCCAGTGCACGCTGAGTATGTCAGAGTTTGAAATTAAGGGTGGCACAGTGCCATCACTAAAACCCCGGCGCTAATTAAAGTGCATCAGCGTGTGGTGAACACAACGGGTTGGTGCGGTAAGAGAGCGTGGAGCGATCGGCACCCAGAACCCACCACACACACTGCCAGATCTCACCTATTGTTTTTGGAAAGCGTCACCAAAAATGTCTGAGTTATGCAGCTGGCAACCTGGCAAAGACATATTCTGCAGGGTTTGTGAATAATTCACGAGAAGTACATGCAGCACTTAAGAAATGCAATGATTCTTCGTCTGTATAAGCAAAAATAAAACCTCGTAATGCGGTGTCTTGTTTTACACACTGCAAGCTTAAGACTTCTGTTTTTCACCTGGATTTTGAACACACTTAACTCTGTAACAGGGAGTACCCCATTTAACTAGACTTTGGAAGAGCAGAAATCACGTGAAGCTTTCAGGTAAGTGCCTGCCATCCTCCAGCACAAGCTCACAGCAAGCTAACCCTGGATAACGCGACGGCAGCTTTCCTGCTAGGATGCCACCACACACGGCTCCACGACTTGGAGAAACACCCGTACTGGGTTTTTTTCTGGAGTTGCCTGACTAATGGACCAGAAGATGACTGACGTCTTTGCTGTTTGCACTCATCTCTTCCCTTTTTCTTCCGTGTGCTGCAAAATTTGCTAGAACTGTTGTATTTGCGGAGATGAATGCCCCAAGCTCCTCTCCACTTGGAGAAAGCTCCCCATTGGATTTCACTGTTACTTAAAGGACCTTCTGCCTTGTGCAGTTAGGAGATTACTCAACAGACCCTCATGCAGCTATTTAAGCAAAAAGAAGCAAAACGATGCTGTGACTTATCCAGTGTCCCTTCTTCAATGTGGCTTATGGAAAAAACCAGGAGCTTCAAAATTTCTGTACTGTTATGGTACCACCTCGTTATTCTTATCTTTGCTGTTTACAAATATTAAATGATTCCTAGAAATGCCTAAGTAAACCCCCAAATCAGCAATTACTGTGTAAAGCGCTCACTGGACAAATGATCACCTCCTACTGCGATCCTGAGGGTTCTCCGTATTTTTGTTATTTAATAAAGAAGATACTGATCACGTTTTCATTCTCTTCTGTCTCTCCTTCAAATGCTAGTGTATTTCCATCCCTATCAGGCTAGAAACTGGGAAGCTAGAATAGTATGGTGAAACCTCACTGGAATACTTTCCCAGCAGCATCTGTTGTGACAGGGAAGGAATTGGAATGGACTGTGTTTGCAATTGACTGTAATCGCTCATTCCCAGCAGGCACAATAAGTAAAGCGAATCATTGCAAGAGCACAATCTTATTCTTACTCTCCAATTACCAGCGTAGTTAATTAGTGAAAAAGAGGGAGCTCACTGTTTGTCAATATGTGCTCCAGTTGGCAAAACTAGCAAGCTACGCATTTATTCAATCTTCCAAGCCAAATTTACTCATGATTTAAGTGGCTGCAACTCCAATTCTACTCCAGTCAAATGAAACGTTCCTATTTATACCGAACACGCAGCCCTTCAGGTTTGCGCAAGCCCTGGGATGGCCCAATGGAAGAGCGAGCTGCCACGTAAAGACCACAGGTCCAGCCTTGCGGGAGCTGTGACGTAGCCTGGCTTGGGACACGGAAAGCTGCATCGGTAGAAAACAGGCTCCCCTGCAGACTGCCTTAAAGCAAGAAAATCAGCCAGGCATGAGCACCGATGCTCTGGAGAACTGAACTGCTCCTCACTGACGGCAGACAGAGGTTAGTGTCCTGTGCCCAGAGCTGGCCTCGGTGAGTCCTGCTCCCCCCTCGCAGTGAGCGACGACAGAGAAACGGTATACGGCCCAAGAGAGAGAGTTAACCTTGAGCTAAAGAGCGAGCGACAACAGAGAAACGGTATACGGCCCGAGAGAGTTAACCTTGAGCTAAAGAGAAGCCCAACACCAGGTGCTGAGTTACAGGAAAGAACTGTTCCGTAAGAACAGAACTCCTAATTGTAACTCTTTTACTTAGCTTTTCAGCATATATAGCATGATTATATTTCAAGGCAGCTTCAAAGAAAACTGGATTCATCAGAGAAAATAAGCATGCCCAGGACACAGGAATCCATCGAGCACTGTCAGTGCTCTTTAGGCACGCTATCATTTCACTTCTGAGCAGAACTTGGGGTGAAGAGGGGCTGATGTGTATATGCTAATACACAGGGAGTGTAGTGCAGCTGCTTCTGCAGCCAAGCGGTACTTAAACCTGCGTATTTGAATAATGCAAATCAAAATCAGGCATTTTTTATTTTAATCCTTCTTAGGCCATTCCCCCCCCCTTGGAGTGCGTCTCTCACCTGGGAAATACAGCTCTGTTATTTCCTTCAGCAGATGAGCTCCTGGCCTTTTCTAGAGAACAGAGGTTCAGACTCAGAGCCGCTGAACTCTGGGTCAGTACACAACATGCTTCTGTGTGCTAAAACACAGTTAGCCCTTTTGAAAGGAAACGAAGTCACACCTCATTATAACATGGCCTATGGGTGCCAAGTACTCATCTTGCTATAATGAACTTTTATTTTAATAGGCTTCATAATCAGAAGAGAAAGCTCTAGAGAGAAAATCTGAAACGTGGAGGTATTTAGTACTGTTCCTGGCAAAGGAGAGGTCTGGCGGATGTCTCTGTTAGAGAGACCATTCCACCCTGGAAAGAGAAACAAGCCAAGTCGAAGGCCGTCAGGTGCCATTAACATCTTCTGACGTGCTACAGGGAGCCCTACGAGCGTGTGTGGTCAGACGAAATCTGAGGGTTCAGGCAGGGTGAATTGTTCATAAAACAAATCATTTGTGGAAACAGGCAATGCTTGCTTTAATAGCTGCTGTTCAAGATGCGCTACAACTGACCAGGAAGTTATCGAGGACCACCTACCGATGACTCGCTCAGTTGCGTTCAGCAAGTCGAGCACAAAACCAGCCCAAGATTTCCCCACGGCTCTCGGAAAAGAGAAATCTGAACCTTGGGCTATTGATGTGCTGGTACGCTGAAAAAATGTTTTCTCAGTAGACACTATTAACGAGGCAACTGGGGTCTAAGGTGATAAATTAGAAATTCAAGCAAGGGCTTCAGAGCTTAGGAAGAAGTCAGACATTTGGGTATGAAAAATCCAAGCAAAGCATGATAAATTTAAAACCTGAGCATTTTACAAAACATCCGCAGAGTCTTTTGACAGTTTTATGTTTCCAGAGTACTCGTGATGGGATTCCTGTTCTCTGTCATTTAAATACCAGGTAAAAATGAAATCTCATGTTGCTGGATATGCAATAACCTACCTTGCCATCCTCAGTATAGACATTTTCATTGTACCCTTTCACTATTGTCCGGTCAATGAAGAGGCTCCGCATCACCACTATCACTTTTAACACTTTTCCTAAGGTAACCTGGGAAGAACAGGAAGAGGAGAAAAACAAGCTGAAGGAGAGTCCATGGTGTCTGAATTCACAAGACCAAGTTAACAGCTTAAGTTGATGCAATTTGTTTTCAATATTTTATAGACAGACCAAAATAAAACATCTAAAAACACCCTGCGTGTTATGAGGAAGAGACACACTATAAAGTGCAGAACAAACAAACATTCATTTGCAACTGAAAATGTATGAATTCACATAATTCCCCTGTGCAGACATGACACTGCCAAGCAACTCTCAATTTTATTAACACCACAACGCAATAACTTGTCAAAAACAATGAGCAAATGTGATTATTTTTGATGCATTTGGTATTCTCCAATATAAGTCCGTTTAGAGAAAAATGATTTGAAAGTAGAATCAGACTCTTCTAATGCTGGCTTTTAAAAGTGTGCCATGAGTTTAATGGAAAACACTTTAGGTCCGATAAAAATGTAAAATTATTTAAAAGGAAACTACAGCTAAGGAGTAAAAATGTTACATTTTCAAAGGTTTAATTTTCTTCTGTGAAAGTGGTAAAATGTAAAGAATAGAACTAGTATCATGGGAAATATATAGGGTCAGTTAGAGTATAACAACAGAAATAAGACTAAATTATATATTGACAAAAAAACAATAATGAAGGCATTTTAATCTAAAAATCAATTTACATTTCAAAGATGAACTTGCATTTCAATATTGTTAAGATGTGTGTCTAAATAATCCTACCTTACTGTTTTGCTACAGACTATTGCAGACTTTTTCCGCACCCACAAAAGCATAAAACCATGATAAAAAAGAAACAATTAGTTCATTTTAATATTTCCCACCCAGCAGCAGCTCATTTTCCTCTGCCTGTATTCCAACAATTTCTCCAGTATAGACTGACACACGCTAGAACAATTGTGTTTTTACTGCTGACCTCAGCAGACAAATCCACACCCGAAGACATCAGTCCATCTGCATCTTTATTGACTTGTCACGTTTGCCTTTTTAACTCCTGCGCATGGCTCCTACCTACCACTGATTTCAGCAGCAGTAACCCCAACCTGACGCTGACTACCAGACTAACAGGCAAATCAACTCCGAAGTGCCAAGATGCTTTTCCCCCCTAAGGGAGGAAGATGGAAAATCTGGCAGAAAGACTCCATCCCAAAGCTGCTGCAGGGACCATGGTGGAGGAGGGTTCGGAAGGGACATGGTGATAGGAATGGGGTGACAGTACAGAACTTTGCAGATCCAAACTACTGTAACTACTGCTTAGTATAATCACTATACAGCAGGACAGAGTTACAAATCCCAAAAAGAAGTGCTGACAGCTCCATGGGACATGGAGAAAGCAGCTCTAGAAGAGTCTACACAACAGGGAAAAACAAGGTGACAGCAAGACAGAGGACAGGAAAATGATTAGGGAAAAAATAGTCAATTATAGATTTCAAGAAGACAGGCTGCTAGGCAGGATTTTGCAAGAATTTGAAGAGAAAAAGCAGAAGAATGGGTAAACTTTTGAAGAAAAATGTTACAGGCTGAAGGAGAGTAACTCGTATCAAGGCCCGAGCCATGCACTGACCATCAATAGCCTTTTCTGATTCCTACCATCTTACAATTGACTGGGATTTTCCAAATACGTAGGGAACACCCTATAATGATGTCAGGAGCTATGAGTTTGGGTCTGAATGTAGCATCTTGCTAGGATAATAAGACCTCTGGAAGAAGACCTAGTTGGTCTGCAAATAAAGGAAATCGGCAGTTATTTCAGCACCTAACACTGTATCAACTAAGTTAAAAACACAATGTCATGACTCAGAGGTGCTGATCTATGAAGCTGATCATCCACTGGGATCAGACAGACAGTGTTGCCATAACTGCTAACACAGGGAAAACTTTGAAAAAAGTTGTCAGCATATTTAGAGTTGACTGGTTGTATTTATTTTTATTCTTTATTAAGATGGGCAGTTTGTTAGAGCAAGAAGGCTGTCATCCAAACACCCAGGCCCAGCTTTATGTATAATATTTTCTATCTCCATTGCCTTCACACATGTTAGTGGATGCTCACTTTCCTCCTCCCTTACGTTCCGCATTCATCTCTCACATTGCTGCCAGGTGGAAAGAAAAAATAAAAATGGATGAAGTTGATCTGAAGCCTGTGTGGGATGTTCCTGAAAATCCTCAAGAGTGAACAGTGGAACATAACAAGCCGAAAAATCCCATGTTTGGCACTCCAGCTTGCTTGAATATACTTATTGCTGGCCTCAAACCTACCCACCAGAATTACCTGCACAAGTGCTTTCAAAATGCTCCTGCATCAGCTCATTGCCTTTTTCAGGTCATCTGTTTTCACACCCTTCCAATGATTCACTCCACACTTTCAGAATCTGTCACAGCTATCCAGACCCCAGCCACCATCCATCATCCAACACTGAAAGGTCAAATTCTGCAGACTGGTCTGGGACAGTAGCCTCGATCACCCACTTGCTTAAATGTCAAAAAAGCCGGGTCACACTGCTTCCCAGACGTGTAAAAGCATCCCTGGACGGGTACCCGAGACAGTGAGCTCCCTGAGGAAGGCGCTCATGCTGCCATCTCAACTCACACAATGGTTTGTACAAGGGGGTCCCATCCAGAAGTAGGAGCACCCAGGCCTCGGGGTAACACGAACGATAGAATACACACAACTTTGGCTGGGTTAGGACTAGGTTGTCCGAATTAGCTCCTGCACTGCTCTGGCACTGAAACAGAAAACTGCCCTATTTTATGTCGCTGTTGTTTTGACATGGGACTCCTGCAGGTTTTACACTGTCTGGAACAGAGATCGGGACTTTCAGACGATGTCTGCGGGGCTGTATCATTAGTTGAGTCTGACAGAGGCAGGAGTTTTGTAAAACTGAGCATAGCTCAGAGAAATGATGGTTGATCATTTTAACAGCACTGAAAGAATGAGGCTAGTAGTACAAAGAATGAACAACAGCCTGTCACTAGACTGGAGGATGCTGTTAGATTTGGAAGCCAAACGTATGCTCCACAGCCCTTTTCAGAGGAAAGCACACTCCGTATTGCACACAACAAATGCGATACCTTTTTTTTTTTTCCTCTAGTAATCAATACTTGTAACTGTTTTCAGGACTTAATGTTTTTGTTCATCTCAACCGTATTTTACAAATCATGTTTTCCAGCAAACCATTTTCTTTCAATGCCTGCTCAACTCAGCTAACTGGAATCCACGTTCAGAAAAGACCTGTGTACGGACGATGATTTACACCTAGAGTCATACAAGTGTGTCCCTACAGATCACCTGAAAGAGGGTAATAAAACACAAATGGCTCTGGTAAGAAAGTAATTTGACGGTTCTACTCTGAGCTCCAGTAGTGCAGGTCTTTCCTTCTGGAGGCCAAGACTCACCCAGATGGTCTCAACGGGCACTAAAATGTCCCTGCCTTTGCACAGATATCAACTGTAGAAACTTCTTTCATTATAATGAAGAGATACCTTCCAGTTGTGACAAAAAGGCAACAATTTCCTTTCTAAGCCAACTTTCCTATTAAATTACAACTTCTTCTGTCGATATCCTGTTAAGACAGCACTTGGCTTTTTAATATTTCGCCTGAAGGATATATGCCAACTCGTCCTTGATGTAGAAAATTTTAATTCAAATCAATACATGTACAAGGTCACTTTAAAATTCAATTAATATGAATGAAAAAATATGCCCCACAGTTCTGTGAGCTGAAGATGGAACAGTTGCAAGTTAAATACTTCTGTAGCTTCTGTTTTGGTCTGCGTAATAACAATGTACTTCCAACTTCCTTTTAACTAAAGTATACTAAATTCAGACACTTAAGTTATTCATAAATCCCCTGCTTCCTAAAATGGCAAGCTCCAGAAGAAGGTAGGACAGGCAGCTGATTGCAATCTGCAATATTATGCAGCTTTTCTGACAAAGATATATAAAATAAAAATCTTCTTTAAATATCCCAGTTTTAAAAATATTTTGTCTATCACCAAGATAATCCTCAAAGAGCATCTGACAGACACCGTATGCCAAGAAAGGGGGAGGGGGAAACAGAATAATCAGTGAGAATGGCTCAGATAATATCTTGTAAGACTGCTAAAAAAGTTCCCATTTAACACTACTTATGATAGGAAAAGAAATATGTACCTCTCCAAGTAAGTCAGAATCAGAGTCAAAACGAGTTTTGAAATTAAAAGGATCATAATTAATTTACCATGCCACAATTCTGCCTGGAGGAAATAGCTTGAAATCCCCCCTTTAATTTTGCCTCCCCCCTGAAACTGATACTCCATTTAAACAGTTTTTAAAAAAATGCATAAACAAACATTCTTTCTTCAGATTTATTTAAAAAACTGGTATTAGGAAAATGTATGCTGACAACACCAAGCTCCAACACTTTGCAAAAAAAAAAAAAAAATCCCGAAGCTCCAGATTTCCTCTCAGCATCCAGGGAATTTGCTGCCGATCTGAGCTGCAGATGCTCTGCAATGCAGAGCTGAAAGACAGAAAACATTCGTTTCAGTTAACAGGGGTACCTCCCTGCTTGTATAACAAGGAGCCCCAGTTTGGATGTGGTTTTTGTTCACCTCAGAAAAGAACAAGGCGACACCAAACCAGAGATGTAAATAAGCTGGATGTATTTCCAGCAAAAGGCCAGACACCCGCTCCTTGCCACACAGCCAGCCATAAGCTTGTCCTCCCACTCGTGTATCTATCTTACTAATCAGCACAATGCCTGGAAATCATATTTATATACCCAGGAAAATAAGGCTTTGTATTAAAAATAAAGTGAGAAGAAAAAAATCCCACCCAGACTTTCAACTGGTTATTTTTTTGTCCTCTGTCTCATCTGCTGCTGGTACGAATGCCGCGCTCTCCCTCACATGCTCATTATTCTTTAATGATGCCTATTTGTAAATAGCAAGATAAGATGCAATTAAGCCATTAGAGTCTAAATAAACAAACATACTAATTAGGTTCTTTACAAGGATTTCTTTTTTTATTTAAGGGCTGGAATTTACCTTTCATTAGTCTAACCTAATTGCAATAGTGCATGATAAGAAGTCAGCATCAATGAAGGGCTTGAAATGATTTTGCTTTATTAGGGATGAGCTGGTGATCCCCTCCCTTGGCAACAGGGCAGATTCTCTTTGTAAGGCGAACAAACGGGCAGAGAATATTGTTCACAGGTTAAAAGAGATTTAGCCGGTGGCCTGGCACACTTAGGGAAGGGTCGCCCTACTCCAGCATTGCTTTAGATGATGAAAATTGATTCCGTCTCTTTCTCCATTCAATACTGTAGAACACCAGGAATTTTACAGGGATGAAAACAATGTCTGATCTCATGGAGTATAAATCCATGGGAGTATCCACTTTGGGGCTGGATAGCATCCCTGGGCCTGGATAGGAACCCTGTGGAGGGGGCAAAGTTGAGGAAAGTTCTTGTTGGTCCTTCTCTACTTCTACTCTTGCTCACCTTCCCATCAGAAGACCCTTCCTCATTCTTACATTAGACAAACAGAAAACAATTTACAATCTACCTGCCATACCCTGCTCACACACTCCGTTGTTTCAAGACTTTCTTCCCCCGCACACAGGACCTCAAACACTGGTTTAATGCCTTTCAAATGCTGCTCCTCATTCAGAGACAAACTGTGCAGGCACCGCCGTCACAACAATCCCACTGCGAGCTCAGAAGTGACTCCTCAAGATCCAGCTCACACAAGAGTCCTTAAACATCCCAGTAGTTCCGTCAAACACCAAAACCTAGCTAGTGTCTCCAAAAGAGTAATCCCTAAGTGAATATTCACCCCATGTGCCTAAAATGAGGTGCCTAAGCCACCAAACGTACTCATCAGATCTATGTCTAGCCTATTTGCAATTAATACATCCCACTTCCATACAATCAGACTGCTTAGAATGTTTGGAACAAGATTTGAAAGTTGAAATCAAATGCATCTGATTGCATGGAAAATGAATAAAGTTGTATAAAAACATGTTTTGTATTTTTATAGGAGAGATCTATTAACAATCTAGGCATCAGTATAAATCTATAAAATTAATTTACAATCAAAATTTGTAAGTACCATGATAAAAAGAAATAATAATTTCTGCCATAAGCTTTGGTTTGGCAGAAACAACTCCATTTTTCAAACTGGTAGTTATACATATCATCATCCTTCAGAAACAGCTCAAATTACAGAAAACTACTCAATTATCTGTAAAAACATTTACCCAGTGTTTGTAACTGCTATAGCAGTGCTTTTGTATACCTTACTGAAACTGGGGACAGAAACAATTTTAAGGACAAAGTAGTTCCCACATGAAGACAAGAGATTAAGTTTCTACACCTGACTAGGACTGGCTAGCTACATGAGTCATTTGTCACCCGGAAACATGGGGTTAATGTTTATTAGTTCGTAAAATACTTCTGATATTAATGGATGAACTAATTGTACATGTAATTAAGTGTTTCACACTGAAAAAAAATAATTCTGAATTTTGATAACAGAAACAAGGTGTGTGAAACAACCATACAATAATCAAACCATTGAGCTTTTTTATTAGAAAAAAATAATGTATATCTAGGAACACAACTAATCATTCAAAAAAAAAAGTGCAAAAATCTAGGTATTTTTCATTAATTAAAAATCAGTTCATGTTTTTTTAAGATCTGAGATGAGGTTTATCTATTTACAATTCCTGGCATTTGACCAACGAAATCTCACAAAAACCTCAAGGAGTCCGCAGTTCCCTCTGCTGCTGCAGGAAATTAATTTTGGATAAAACTGTTATTAAAGCTGATATAATTCTATGTTTAGTCTTTTTTATGCATAGTACGATTAAAAGATTAATTGAAAAATCACTAGCGAAGATTGGGATTAAACAGCACCTTGAAATGCCATGATGAACTGCTTTTAAAATCAGTTGAGGATTTCACACGGCTCTGAAAGGTTTCAATTATTTATGTGTTTGGTCTGTGTAGCATAAATCCAGACTAATGAGGTACAATTGCTGTGTATAAATCTAAAGCATGAAAAAAAACTCCTTGTTGTCTGGAGGAAGCTGTAACCTCAAAGGACTAGGAGGTAGCAAGCTTTCAAGACACAGAATTTATGCTCTCAGGAGTAGTTTATTTTTCTTTTTTTGCTTAAAGTTCTCCGCTTAAGCAGAAGCTGTACCCTGCTTAGAGAGAATCCAGCTTAACACAAAGGTTACTCGCCAGCAGGCTCTCAGGGCTGAATTACTCCTCTTGGAACACCAGATGAACCTTACACCATGGAAGTCCCACCCCTACAGCGAAGGACATAAATTGACTTCCACGTGCACATGAAGTCGTACAGTCTGGGGCTGAAACTTTCTCTATTAGGTCTTTTTTCTTCCTGAGGATGATTTATTGGGCAAAATCTCCAGCTACTCTGGAGTTCCAAAGAACCTCCCAGGTACTCCCTTCCCCTTCTTGCCCATCTCCTTCCAACCATGCGCACATTCTGAAAATACATATTCTGCTTACCAGTGCCTTTGAGGACAAATACGTGGTTTCTTTCTGGTAAATGGAATGATTGTGTTTAAAGATGTTTTAATACAACAACTAGACCTCTGTGTCAAAGGTCTTCATAAGCAAGGGCAGGTACGGTATGAGCAGTCCAGGGATGAAAATGGTGGAGGTTACACAGTTCATTAATGAACGCTGGGCAAACAATATGGTTGTGAAATACTTTTAATTAAAACAAGCATTATCTGAATCCTTTGGTATTGTGGTAAACCATGGTGCTGCAAGGGAGCAACTCCAAATCTAACTTGGGATAAGTTCAGAGTGAGAAATCACAAGTACTGAAGAAACCTCCCTTCTTCTGGGGGAGGTGCTCTTCACACTGCCCATCCTGCAGCACCTTTCACTGAATGATTTGGGGCTGAAAACAGCAAAAGCTTTTGTAGCAGTCAGGGCCAGATGGAAACTGCCATATTGGCAACATCAACTGAGACAGATGGGAAAGAGGGAAAACCTGACTAAAAGAAAAAAAATTATAAACCCATCACACAATCACATACAAAAATACTTTAAAAACAATCTTTTTGATCTCTGATCCAAGGAAAATATGCATACCACTGGTTCAGTACAGGACTGCTGCCTTGAAGCAACAATTATGTCCTTGATTTTGAGAGCTACTGCAACATGGAATTCACTAAGTTGGTACTGCTTGTAAAGGGGGCTTCTTTCCCTGTTATCACTCTTCCAACCTACCTTCTTCCTAATGTGTTACATCCTGGACTCTTTACCAAATTTCCAATTTGTGCCTCAGTCTTGAAAAGCATCGTCTATTTTTCTGACCTCAGAAAGCTGGTATAAGTGGAAGGCACTTACTACGTGCAAGAGGGGTCTATGAGAATGGAAAGGGTTTCAAACTAAGGTACTAAAAGCAGACATTTTTCTATAGGAAAACAGTTAAATATAAAGTCATCTTAGGAAGAAATGCAAAAGCTTCCAAGACTTAGAGCTTCTTAAGACTGCACCGCTGAATTCAATTCTTTTCTGAAAAATACTGTTCCACTTGGTGAATCCAACAATGGCAGATTAAATATTTTAATGCCAGCTGTTTATTTTAACCTCACACTCAGTTAATCTCTTGCAAATTTGGTGCTGTTCAAAGAAAGTTAATAATAGGATGTCAGACAGTTGATTAATTAAAACTAAACTTAATCACAGCTATGCTTACTACAGAGAAACTAACAGAACCGTTAAAAAAATATAGGCAAAATTCTAACCAGAGTAGTGTTTTCAAATCAACAAACTCTAAAAACTTATTAAACCTAAGCAGCAACCCTAACATTGGCTTATATCGATGCAACAATTCTGTTTTGAAAAAATACCTGATTTTCAGCTTTATTTTACCATTTGCTTGGAAACTAGAAATACACTCACAGGTAGGCTACACCCAAGGCTTTCATAATAGCCTGTGTGAGAAAACCAAAAATACGAGGAAGTGCCACAAGAAATCTGAAATGGAAGAGACTGATCTGGTCCCAGTTCTTCACCTGTGTATACAGTGTATTTTTTAGTTTTATTTAAAATTTGGCAAAAGATGCAAATTCTGCCTTTCAGCCCACTACAGGAAAATCAGCATCCAACTACAGACTCCACTTCCACATTGCTATCTTAGAGCAAAAGCTTTAAAGACTTCTTTTGCTATAAGCACTACAGCTGCCTGTGAAACCTGATGTGAACAATAGGCTCTTCTGGAATGAAATCTTGCTTGGTCAGGCAGAAATAAGTTGAATGTATTGGACTTGTTTATCTCTAATCCAGCCTTTGCTGCTCATTTACTTCAAAGGCAAATTCCTGACTTCACCATATAACAGAAATTCACTGACCCAAGAACAATATGAACATATTTAAATCATATTGGTTTCCTCCTTCTTTTCTTTCTCCCACCACTCCTTTCCTTCTTAATTATCATGATTAAGATTCATTCGTAGCCAAGACTGCTGAAAACAACAGTGAATATTTGAGTTTGTGCTCATATTTCTACAATCGTGTTTAACAATAAAAAGTAATAGATCTTGGTTTAAAGGTGAAATTCTTTTTACCTCTCATTTGCTTAAGAGCAAGGAGGATCCTACACTGCTGCGACAAAGGAAGAATCATATGTTTCTGAATAAAACTATCTTGAATAACCTGTGTTTTACAAACAGTAGTTCAGTCCCTTAAGAAACCCCTCTCCAGGCACAAAGTGATCCAACTCACCAGAAGCATTGCAGAGGTTCCATTTGGCCGGGACAGCTGGATAGACATTTCAGGGAACATCCTATCAATCCGATTGATCACATCATCGACGTATCTATCAAACAAACCAAAACGACAGGATCAACGCACACGCTCCTTGTCACACGCTCAGATTAACATTCCCTGCTAACCGTGTCCGCTCCGATACCTGCATATTCTTCAAAAATGCCTGCTAGCATAACTCAGAAGGTTATTGATAAGAGGAAACATACCAAAGTCCTGTGTAAGTTGTTCTGAAAATTAATTATTCTGCCCTTAAAAACATGCACTCAATTCTTCGAACGTATGTGTCAGCCTCAAACTCTTGCCATTGTGTTTCCATACTTTTGCCTCAGGGGGTCGAAGGATACGTTACCAAAATGACTCTTCCAGGGTAGAAATTCATAGGCTGTCACTTCCTTATTCTCTCTTTGATAAACGAAAGAAATAGAGATGTTCTCAAAGTCTCCAAACTACTCATGGCAGGGGATGTGTGTGTTCTGAATCTTTCTAATTTATTTCACGCTCTGGTGACTCTAAAATTGGCCAGCACATATTTCAGGAGTTTCTCTGAAGTGATCAAACACAGAGGTAAAAAACCCATCCTTTCTGCTGGATATAATCCCTCTGCTTACGCAGGCCAAAGCGAGCCAGCACACACCAGCCTTGGCTGCCTGGTATTGCCCGAAGAGCTGACGTCCTTTAACAGCGAAAACTTCCTTTCAGAGACCTTGTTTCCCCAGGACACACCGCTCCATCCCATGGGCATGTCATGCATCCCTCTGGACACATTAAAATGCACAGTATCTGCCTCGGCAGAGCTTGCCCGACAGTATCATCTGTGCACTGACCTGTCCTCTGGTACTACTGTCGGTTCTGAAGTACGATGACGGGAAGGGCACTGCTGCCTTGTCATCTACCCATCTGCAAACTCTGCAGCTCCTCACAGATCCATGAATGAAATTATTGGTAGACCTGTTGTCGTGCTGGCCCACATAGGTGCTCTGACTTTGGAAAAATTGGTTGCCCCAGTTAGGTAAAACTGAAAAAGCTAACTATTTCCCCTTAACATGCTTAAATGAAGGTTGAGAGGGGTGGAGTGGGGGTGTTGGAAAGTTGAATTCTTGCTCTTCAAAGCTATTAAGTTCTAATGTTAGTTGCTAAAAAAAAAAAAAAAATAAATAAGGTGCTATGCTCCAATTGCTGTTTTGTAAGGGATTAAAGATCATCAGGAAAAAAAAAAATCACGAAAGCTACACTTACACAGCTGGTAAAGTCAGCCCACTTTTAAAAGTAATAAAAGAATGGAATTAGTTATGGCAATTTTGCATAAAAATCTTAATCCGCACTTCTGGTTGGGCAGAAAAAAGTTTCCCCGTTCACTGGAATAAGTCATTAACAGCTTGCTTGCTGATAAGCAAAGTCAAAACACCCATAAGCCAAGAACTTCCTCAGCACCGTGAGAGGAGACGCATAAGACGGCGCTTCACGATGAGTAAGCTGCACAGCAACAACATGCACCCAACTAATTTTAAACATTACTGAGCGCCATCCTTTTTTTATACGTCATGAGAGCTTATATTGTTTCCTAAAGGTAATTACTCTGGGCTCTGCAAATAAATTCAGCTATCGTTTGTGCGTGAATGGAGGCGACTGATGGAGAAAGGGGCAAGGAGAGATTCCGTGTTGGTTGATTAGCACGTGGTTAGGAACGCGTCCTTACAGCCTCGCACGCTACGATGCACATTATTGTGTAACTTCAGGTTTCTAATTTTCCAAGCTTTGGGCAATAATAAATTGAACCCAAACAAAATACGTAGTTGCATAAACCCAGCCACTGTCACAGTCTATATGCATTAAGGAATGAAAAGTCAAGTAATTTTAAATCATGTAAACAACAGTTGGACTTGGACATTTAATCTGCTTAGGTCCTTCTGAAAAATCCCAGCGGACATGTACATTTATCCTTTGAAAATGCCATCCAGGCTGGTTGGAGGTCATCAATTCTTCAACTCTTTCTTAGATCTGGTTATTTTTTAAATGTAAAAATGGTCTTGACCATGTGCCTTAAAACCTGAATCAAACCCAACTGTCACCTTCTACTTCCTGAGAAGTATAAGGCAGAACAGGGAATTCACAGGGAGGTTGGGAAGAGTCTTCCCGTTAAGCAAAATCATACAGACAGCAAACCAGAAATCTGATTTGTATTAACCAGCTTCTGAAAGAACCAGAAGGTGAGTTAGTCAGGTATCTTGGGCTTCGAAGCCCGTTAACTTTGTACCACTCTTCATAAACCAGCTGACAAACAAAGAAAATTAAACCCACACACTTAAGGAAATAGAATGTTTTACTGTGGCAAGGCAACTACACCAGGAGCATCCACACAGGCAGCCTCTTCCCTCTCTTCCCAGTCAAGCAATTCAGAGAAAATCCAAGACCAATATGATAAAAGAGCACTGATGTGCGTATCATTGTTTTGCCCCTTTGCCTTTTTTGAAGTAGACATCAGGGTTTCCTGAGGACTCATCAAGAGAGAAGGATTCTTCAAATATGCATATAAAATTACTAAATTAGCCTGACTACATGGCGGCCTCAAATATAAAATGACAAACAACCTAATCTAAGGCAAAATTCTTCTATAGATATGCCCTTCAGAGAGGACATCTGGTAAAACATCTTGTGAAGGGATGGGTATGATAAATCAGATGCAGTGAAGGAATGTAAAAGTGTAACTGGTGACGACTTTAGAGCAAACTGAAGAACATATGATAAAGACAGGATAATGTGCACTCCCGAGGCTGTCTGGAAAGGGGGTCAGAGGAAAAGCTTCTGTCTGGAACTCATTTTGCAGAACAGAAATACATTAATTTAGTGCCAAAATAAGCAGAATCGCAATTTACACATCTCTGTCCAATCACTTAGCTCAAAAATATGCTAGTTACAGAACCTCTTACACAGTCTCAGAGCAGCGTGGCACTTGAGGATGGAGAAAAGACTGATTTAACTTTGCCAATAAGCACTTCTAACTTTTAACACACTTACCACATCTCAGCTCTCTCCTACTTACAAAAGATGCTGGTTGGAATGAGCATTTACAAACCCAGAAGAAATAAGGCAAAGCAGGGAAAAGCAAATGGAAATACCTTTGCTGAAATGTGTCATTTCTTAATTGTAAGAGAAAAAAATAATCATGGAATTCGCAGAATTAATCTGAGAATTCTCAGAATCTCAAAATGAAATTATATGGCAGTAGCTTCACTTCTGGTCCTAGAACAGGCATTGTTCCACCTACAAAGGGTGGAATAGCACCTAAACTCCCTCCCCACAGCTTCTCTATCACACGAAGGATGTTCAAAAAGGTCTGAAGGCAGACAACTGCAAAAGCTCATACCCAGTAATCCCCACATTTGATTACAGCACAGGTTTTAAACTCTTCATAGACAGAATTTCATCTTACTTATTCTTCTAGGCCTCAAAAGACAATATATTACCACCTCGTAATTGCAACATCTTAAGTTAGTCCCATTCTGTTCAAAAATATTCAAGTAACTTCATCAAAACCTGCATCCTAATCCAGTTCCGTATCCATCCTGGTCCGAAAAGAAGAAGATGCAACCAACAGGACTTCCGATCGTTAAATCATATCAGATACTAAAGCAATTTTGCTAATGTAATTTTACTGGTCAGAGGGAGAATTTTTAAAGAAGCTTTAATAGCAGGTTTGTACCAACTTCCCTCTCCCATTTTTTCCTCTTCTTTTCCTCCTTCATGACACAGATTCATGATGTTAAGGTTTTAAAATTATAGTTTTGACAGAAAATCTTTATTTTAAAAAATGATAATAGTATCATTCAGGAGCATGCATCTGAATGTGCAACAGAACCAGCCAGCAAGATCAGACCCGACATCAGATGCTCTCCAAGGCTGTCAACACTATAAATCGTTATTTTCATTTCAGTGTAGTAGAACAGTTTTTTCTGGGAACATGCTATATTAATACTGCAAAAGTCAAAAACACAACAATCTACTTCATGAAGATTAGCAAAGACTAAAAGTAACCAAAAGTGTACACTTCAAATGAAGTCTTGTTACGAACGTGCAGAAAAATCAACACTAGAACAAAAGCAACAGAGATGATATTTGAAAAACCTCTCTGCCGTTTTGCCAACAAGCACAAACATAAATCCTGTAGTCCGTATTAGAGGAACAATGCCTGGAACACAAAAGACACTTCCAAGCCAGTTACAAAATACTGGTTTTAAGGGACTAATTAGTTATGCAAAATACTAAGCGAGAAGTTTCATACTAAAACATCAGGTTGACAAGGTAGAAATAATTCAGGAACCATCTTTGTAGATAAATGGTCTTGTAACACCGCTTTGATTCACACAAAGGCCCCCCAAAAGACAGTAATATAGAAACATAATTCATTATAAATGCCTTTCAATTCCACACTGGACAGATGGCTCAGTTCTCCACTGTGACCTCTTTTTGATTTTTTTCATTTTTACTGGATTAGATCCAGCGATCCAATGTTAGTGTGATGTTTAACAGCTTAGACAAGATTTAAATAGCATTTATCCCACACAGTGTTTAACTTGCATGCTGTTCATTTTTTCCACTCAATACAACAATTTGAAGATCAGAAACATAGGTATTAATAATAATTTTCCAAGGAGGTCTTTCAGAGGAAAGAAAGTTTTGCTAAATTATACTGGGGAGACAGAGAAATAGAGAAAAAAAAATACACATTTGTAACATAAAAGAGCATAATCTTTCCTCTACACTCAGTGGAAAACACCACATGAGATGAAGAGAAACTCTGATTCTGTTGAACTGGGATTCATGATATTCTGGACAGCAGCAGGGGAAACTCTCCACGCATTCTCTCGCGTACTCCAACAGTATTTACCTGCTCCCAAGAACGAGGTTTTTTTTGGCTTTCAGTTACTATTTTCAACACAGCTAATAATTCCCTTTCACATGTCTGGTATTTCAGCAGTACGGGCTGGCCCTGCGGGTTGTTGCTAGCATATGTAGCGATCGCTAATAAAGCCATCGGTGCAAAGAGCCCGC